CAAATTTACTGATTGAAAACAGTGACAAGCTTATATGCATTTAGACAAGCAGAACAATCAATAAAATACATGTCGTCACTAACTTAACATATAAATAAATTCCAGTCTGCTATAATAGAAACATAGATTACACACATGATTTAAAGCATTTGAAAATATTTGTTTAGCGATATATGTTCATCCTGTCCTAAGCAGGTCATCCACAGGTGTTCATTTGCAGACTGGCAGGCAAAAAGGTTGCAAAAACCACTTTGCCAAGTGAATGTCAACTCAGGGTCTCCACTGGTGGCTCAAATACAACATTTGATGTGATTCCAAGTGATACAACTCAAATTCTAAATCTGAACCTAAGACTGGCTGCCTCAAAACAAGCAGTCTGCCTCGGCTACAATGGAAGACTACGGGGAGGCTTTAATAGCAGGGAAAGGGTGGTCGTAAAAAGAATCTACAAGGCCTTGCAACCTATCCATTGATCCTATTGAAAAGTGATTGCTTAAGAATGCTGGAAAAGCATGACTGAGCTCAACTTTAAGTCTGCCCTTCCCTGAGCAGTCCTACACTTGACCAGGTAGCACATCACTCAGTGTCTATTTTTTGAAACGAAAGAGATGATCAATTGGAGAGATGAGCAGATTGTTGGTACCTTGAAATACTATACTTGCCACTTTTAGCACTTTCGAGAAGAGGGGGTAAATATTAGTGTGATTTGGGCCTCAATTCCACACCCAGGAGTGATTTTAACTTAGATGAAAACAAACCTTAAAAATAATTCTTGCTGCTCACCATCCTGTGCCCCCACCATCCAATTATACAAAATACTTAGGATTCTAACTCAAGAATTAATGTCGTGAAAATAAATTCTAAAAATGCCCTGATGTACTGCATTCTGAAATCCAGAGACAACAATTGATATACATTTATCTGAATGTGATGTAAAATATGTAAAACAATGACATCATTACTATTGGGCAGACCCAATCCATGTGTGTTTGGACCACTGTGAAATTCACCAGGTTGCTATTTTACCCCAAATTTGTTCTGTGCAACACCTAGAAGTGATATTACGCACCTCACAGATGGTAATGAGAGAATTAAGGACTGGTTTAGGACCAGTTTAGGAAACTGCAATGTATAAAGCAGACGCCACGCATTCTCTACTTAGGATTCTCTACTGTGGCCAAAGGTCCAACTTTCAAAGAATATTGAGGCAGAAGCGGAAAAAACAGTCAGGCTCCCTATTAGAGAGTCTTGCGATTTGTTCCTCCCATCTCGTTGCCTCTTACCTCACACCCCACCCCACCCCACAAACTCCACTCTCTTATTTACCTTCAGGTTGTCGTCACTATGGCCACTGGGAGTGCCCATGTAGTTTTAGAGACAGCAGGAGTGTACCTTTGGGTCTTGCAAAAATGCAGCATGCCATTAATGATCTGCATTCATGGCCATTGGCAATTTTGTGCAAAATAAGTTATTCTCCATTTCTTACATGCAGAGTGAAATGCTGGGGAAGAATTAACCCTTTAACCGCCATGGTGTTGTGTGGCACTATCACCGTGCTAAATGGGATAGACTTCAAACAGATCTAGCCAGCGAAGACTGGGCATCCATAAGACACTGTGGGCCATCAACAGCAGAATTGTACTCCAGCACAATCTGTAACCTCACGGCCTGGCATATCCCCCACTGAGCCGTTACCATCAAGCCAAGGGATCAACCCTGGTTTGATGGACAGTGCAGTAGCGCATGTCAGGAGCAGCACCAGGCATACCTGAAGTTGAGGGGTCAACCTGGTGAAGCCACCAAACAGGACTACTTGCATGCCAAACAGCATACGCAGCAAGTGACAGACAGAGCTAAGCAATCCCACAACCAATGGATCAGACCTAACCTCTGCAGTGCTATCACTTCCAGTCGTGAATGGTGGTGGACAATTAAAAAAACTCACTGGAGGAGGAGCCTCCACAAATATCCCCATCATCATTGATGGAAGAGCACAGCACATCAGTACATAAGATAAGGCTGAAGCTCTCGCAGCAAACTTCAGCCAGAAATGCCTAGTGGATAATCCATCTTGGCCTCCTCCAGTGGTCCTGAGCATTTTAGATACCAATCTTCAGCCAATTCGATTCACTCCACATGATATCAAGAAATGGTTGGAGACACTGGATACTACAAAGGCTACGGGCCCCGACAACATTCCAGCAATAGTACTGAACAGTTGTGCTCCAGAACTTGCCGCTCCCCTAGCCAAGCTGTTCCAGTACAGTTACAACACTGGCATCTACCCGACAATGTGGAAAATTGCCCAAATATGTTCTGTACACAAAAAGCAGGACAAATCTAACCTGGTCAATTACCGCCCCATCAGTCCACTCTCAATCATCAGTAAAGTGATGGAAGGTGTCTTCAACAGTGTTAACAAGCAGCATTTGCTCAGCAATAACCTGCTCAGTGGTGACCAGTTTGGGTGCCGCCAGGGCCACTCAGCTCCGGATCTCGTTACAGCCTTGGTCCAAGCAAGGACAAAAGAGCTGAATTCCAGAGGTGAGGTGAGAGTGACACCTCTTGACATCAAGGCTACATATGATCAAGTGTGGCATCAAGGAGCCCTAACAAAATTAGAATCAATGGTTATCGGGGGGGCAAACACTTTGGTGGTTGGAGTCATACCTGACACATAGGAAGATGGTTGTGGTTGTTGGACATCTGTCATCTCGCCTCCAGGACATTTCTGCAGGAATTCCTCAGGGTAATGTCCTCGGCCCAAACATCTTCAGGTGCTTCATCAATGACCTTCCCTTTATCATTACGCCAGAAGTGGGGATGTTCACCAATGATTGCACAATGTTCAGCACCATTCATGACTCCTCAGATACTGAAGCAGTCCACGTTCAAATACAACAAGATCTGGACAATATCCAGGCTTAGGCTGACAAGCGGCAAGCAACATTCACGTCACACAAATGCCAGGATATGACCATCACCAATAAGAGACAATCTAACCTTTGCCCCTTGGCATTCAACAGTGTTACCATCACTGAAAACCCCACAATCAACATCCTGGGGTTATCACTGACCAAAAACTCAACTGGACTCACCACATAAACACGGTGGCTACAACACCAGGTCAGAATCTAGGAACACTGTGGCGAGTAACTCACTTCCTGACTCCTCAAAGCCCGTTCACCATCTACAAGGCACAAGTCAGGAGTGTGATGGAATACTCACCACTTGCCTGGATGAATGCAGCCCCAACAACACTGAAGATGCTTGACACCTTCCGCACAAAGCAGCCTGCTTGATTGACACTACATCCACAAGAATTCACTCCCTCCACCACCGCAGCTCAGTAGCAACAGTGTGTACTATCTACTAGACGCACTGCAGAAATTCACTTGGGATCCTCACGCAGCACCTTCCAAATCCACGACCACTTCGATCTAGAAGGACAAGGGCAGCAAATATATGGGAACACCACCACCTTGAAGTTCCCCTCCAAGCCATTCAACATCCTGACTTGGAAACATATCGCCGTTCCATGACTGTTGCTGGATCAAAATCCTGGAATTCCCTCCCTAATATCATTGTGGGACAACCCACAGCAGGTGGACTGCAGTGGCTCAAGGCAGCAGCTCACCACCACCTTCTCAAGGGCAATTAAGGATGGGCAATAAATGCTGGCCAGCCAGCGATGCCCACATCCCACAAATGATAAAAAAAATTGTGGAGTCAGACCCAGGACAAAGCAATAATGTGCCTGTAACTAAAGACATTGACAGAATCTTTACTCAAGTTCCTTCAAGACAGCTCCTCCAATGGTTTTTGAATAATAGGAATACCTCTTTCTGTTGTCTACTTCCCTCTCACCCAACAGGATGCGCTCTCTCTCTCTCTCTCTCTCTGTCTATTTTCCTTTATGCTTCTGGAGACAGAGGAGTCATGTAAAGTGAAATTAGTGAGGCAGTACATTGGAAATGGAAATGAGCACAAAGGAAGAGGCTGGAATAGCACAAAGTTTGGACTGTACGTTATGGATTTGTTTAAACTGGATGTAGAAGTAGTACATATAGATTGAGTCCCATGATTTGATTGTCCCCTTTATAGTAGCAATGAGACTTGAGCCAGTCTCATTGTCACTGTAAAGGGGAGAACTAATTTATCTAAAATATATATATAGTACTCACATTAAGCTTGATAAGCACTTAGATTAGTAGGGGTGGAGGTTAGATAGATCTTAGGATTAGGGTAAAAATTCAGCACAACATTGTGGGTCGAAGGGCCTGTACTGTGCTGTACTGTTCTATGTTCTATAAGCACTCTTACTATCTCTTTGATCAACAATCTTTGCTGGCTCCCTATTCTCATGTCACAGATTCAAGATATTTTTGATTATTCCTCGGTCCACTTATCTCTGTAGACTCATACAGCTCTACATTTCTTTACACTCTGCCTTTTCTTCAACTTACAATCTCCTCTCCTTAATCCACTTTTAGTTCCACAGCCTCCAAGTTTTTCAAATCTATATCTGTCTTAGGATTCTCTGCTTTGCTATCATTCTGCTTCAAAAGCCAAATAAAGACCTATGCCTTTGGAGAAGAAGGTTTTGAAGTAATGATCAATGTCGCAATTTCTGGTTATTTTGTCACTATGAAGCACTCTCCCACCTATCCACCCCTCCCATCCCACTGACCTCTCCCCACCACTCCCTACATGCACTCTTCCATCATCCCACCCTCCCTCTCTCTATTTATTTCTGAGCTCCCTTCCCCCTCCTCATTTCTGAAGAAGGGTCCCAACCCGAAACGTCAACTTTCCTGCTCCTCTGATGCTGCCTGGCCTGCTGTGTTCTTCCAGTTCCATACTGTGTTATCTCTACATTTAGAGGTGTCACACAGGTGTAATTTGGTGTTACAATTGAGGATTATTAGGAATATTTGTAATTTCTTCAACAAATATTGTACCACTGGATCTATCTATGTAATATTTACCCTAAGTCTTACCTTCATTTTCCCACTGTATTTAGGATCAGAAATGGTGATAAAAGCAGCTTCTTTGCTCTGCTGTAAAAACTCTGGAAACTTGCAAAATACACGCTCACAGATTCTTCTGACAGTGGATGCCTCAAACAAAGACCATAATTGTAAATATTAATTAAATTGAGATCAAAATACTATTACACATCACAGAGCATTAATTCAAGTAAAGAATAGGAGAAGAAACATGTCCCATAAAGCCCATGCCTACTTTAACCTCCCGGAGATGGCAATAAATCACAGAAAAGTCTCCCAAGGTAGAATACATAAACTCATGCCGGCCTTCAGAAAACATGTAAATGAAATTCCCAGGCATTAATGTAACATTTTAACAAATAATATTCAGATTGGAGAGGGATTTTAAAGAGTCCGAGTCCCGTGTTCAATAACACAAATCAATCTCTTTTCGGAGCTCCTTTACCACATGTGGGAAAAGGCCAGAAACCACTTCAGATCTGGCTTTCAGCTAGTGCCCAGTTGCCCTCTTAAATATAGCTCACCTTGGAGGTCAGTGACACTGTACATTTCCCAATAACATACAGGATATTTATGCATACCACATTATAATGGTTACATGCAACACTGCCATCAGTGTTTGTCGCATCTCCTCTAACGTACACATCCAATGCTGTGAATACATCAATGACGAACAACTTCATGGTCCACCCTATCATCTCGTGATGTTTGCCAGACCCCCTATCATCTGTCCGTGGGCTCTTATGATTATTGACAACGTTCCAACACTGATTATTATGTCCCTTCCAAGACATTTGCCAGCTGCATCGCGTAATTGCTTATTACTAACTACTTTTCAAATTCGGATATGCAGTTCATATCCTTTGCTGATCTTAGCACAAAAGATTAAAAAGGATAGTTATAATATTTGAAATGTCAGGTCTAATATAAACTTACTTATAAAGTTATATATAGTTAAACCTAATACCATCATTCTATGACAAAGCTAACAATTTCAGGAGCAGTTTCCCTCTTATCAAACTTGCAAAGTGGCAGTTGTTTTCTCGAGGCCATACTGACACTGTTTCAAAATTGTTTTTGCTCCCCCCCAACTTACTACATTATTTGTCTCTCAGTATTCTTATGAGGTTATCTTGTTTATACCTCTCCGTTGTTCTAATCTTCCTGCTGACAAAGAAAGAAGTTTCTTCAAGGGCATCTCTGCATGCAAGGGTAACTGCCTTCCGAAATTTAAGTACCCAATATCTAATAAATTTACACATCTATTATTGTACAAATATGTGTCTACTCTAATACACAATTATAATTTTTAAAATGCCTCATCTCGGATAGGAAAAGTTTTCCCTTTCTATTTCATATAAAAATAGTAAGTCACAAATCAGATGGTTTTCATCCGAACTGCCTTAGCAGAGTCTTACTGTTTGCATTCTAGTCGCATCTTACTAAGACTCACAGGCATTTTATTGTGAAGGTCATGATTGTGCTATATGAAATGCTACATCAGCTACAATTTCCTTCAATTATGTCAGTTAAAAAGAAAACCTTTCATAGCCATTTTATCATATGCAGCCATGGGCAACCAGAACAATTCAAAATAATTAGTTTTTAAAGATAGTTTACACAGCTCAAGAGTATAGCAGTCGTCATGGTATAGAACAAGTACTTATTTTTATTCTCATACAATTCAGTCATATTCCAAATCAGTTCTAGATCTATTAAAAGGAATATGATAAGGAGCACAGAGAGACATTAGGTCAAACATGCTGATCAAGGAGCTCAGTTTAAAGAACATCTTAAAAGAAAGAAAATGAGGGAGAAAGGGTAAGCGATGTTGCGAGTGTAATTCAGAACTCAATGAACACAAGTGGAGCACAATTCTACCTTTATACATGAAGCAATGAAAATTATTACTTTGGGTATTTGAGTCACACTACAATTATCCAAAATTTCTGTAGCATTAAAAATGCTGCTAGCCTCTTTCCACTATTCCTGATCAGTTCATTTGCTTTTCTTTTTGAAACTTGGTTCTGCATTTGGATCTGTATCTGATGGCTCACTGTTTCAAAGTTCCTAGTCAAACTGCTGCTTTCTGATCTTTTGAATGTCCTTCCCCTTGTATGCTTTAATAGCAGTAATTTTCAGACCCATACTTCATGGCAAGTGACTGCTAACAACTTTACAAATGGATATCTTGCGTTTAATTCAATTTACAAGTTTTGTAAACAGGAGACAGAGAATATTTGAATTGATGTTTTAGATCACTAGCCTTTTTGGATTTAAAGAGAACCATAAGACCCAGACTCATGGAGGGATGACAAGGGACTATGTGAAATATATTGTAATAGAAGAACAGCACAAGTGGCTTAAATAGCTGAATGGTTATGCAAACTTTCTTGCAAATAATACTTTACCAGTATGTCAAAAGATGAATGTCATTGTGGATAAGAGTCCAACAGAGAACTATTAGCTTGCTATCAGGGAAGCCTTACAAGAACTTGCATTTACATGGCACCTTTCATTATATCTGATGTCCCAAGGAGGTTTCCAACCAAATAAGTACAAAGCGTTATCACTCTTGTAATGTAGAAGAAAATAAACAACCTATACATGCACAGAAAAATCCATGAAAGAACATTTAAATAAAATGTTGATTGTAGAATAAATATTGTCCAGGATACTCTATCTTTCCTTTAATCATGCTATGGATATTTTACATCCATTCAAGAGGACAGATACAACCCTGGTTTAACACCACATCTGACAGACTACAGCTCCATCGGCACGGCACAGAAATTCAACATTAATTGTGTGTTCAAATATCTGATATAAGGCTTTAGCAACAATATTCTGATTAAAGAAACAAATGTGCTAGTGAGTGAATCTAAAATAAAACTAATTTCTCAATAGAATAACAAGATCAAATAATTACCTGCATCTTGCTTGTGTTTTCATCAGGCTGCAGGAGTGCAACATGATTGGATACCTTACGAAGGATGGACAAATAACTAAAATAAATTTGCCGTACAGTAATCCCATCCTCATTTTGCTGAAAAGAAAAAGCATTTTAAAAATTCAATACATCTAAAAGTAAGTGGGCTGAATGATTCCAGTTCTACTTTTAACAGAATTTGGGACCTCAACATTGTAATCACATATTTTCAGATTTAAAGTTTATCTTGGAGACTTCTACTCCTGCAAAAGCATTTTTGAATTTATTTTTAAAAAAAATCAATTTGGCACATATGTGGCAGTTCCCTAAAAAAGGTGAAAATTTTATTCCTTTCTGCATTTTCATTTTACACTTGCCCATCTCTAGTATGCCAATTAAGGTAATGCAACATCTTTCAAAATTGACATATTCCCATAATTAAGAAAAAGACTTAGTTTTGTCAATCACATTTCCGGAAACTTCACATAAAAGGAAACTACTTGGAAGTGTGGTGACGTAAACTAATGCAGCAGTGGATTTTGGCATCGAACAGTCCCATAATTCAAGGATCAACAAGTCTTTTTTGATAGCATTATTTGAGGGTAGAACTTTGCCTAGGTCACCAGAACTTAATACAGAAATGAGATTATTAGTTGTCCACCTTAGCAAAGACAGGCAAACAGCTCATTACCTCATCGAAAGGTTGCCGCTTCTAAAGAGCGTTCCATCAGTATAGGAACGTCCAACTCAACTACATGCTCAGTTCCTGGGTTGGGCTTGAAGCGAAAGCTTCAAACTCAGAATGACAGTGATTACAGCTGATCTTTATTGATATTTAGTGTAGAATTCATTGAGTTAATATACTGCCCTTTCACCTATATGGAGTCTGAATCCAGCCAGACATGAAGTATTTTCTCTGTCAATTTTAAGGCTCCCACATAAAACAAGTCTGGACAATCTCAATTACAGTCTGACAGGACCTGGTCACAACACCGAACTGCCCACAATTCTGTACTAAAATTGAAGAGATCACAAAATGTGTCGGAAATGAAAGTTCATAATGCACTATTATAGGGTTAAATTACATCTGAGTTTAACAGGATGAAGTTTTACTTTGAAACAAGCCTGCTATTTGTAACACATATTTAATTCTCACACTGGCTGCCAAAAGTTAAAAAGTGTTCCATTCAGTAGCATTGACACCCACTGCCTTGACGAGCAGAAAAGCTTAGCCAAAAATATACATTTCAAAACCAGAGTATTTATCTACTTAAACAAAAGTAGCAAGGTCAGAATTTTAAGCAATTGCCAAACATTCTGAAACATTCACTATTTTAACATCCTAAAGTGACAAATGAACAGTTCACAATTCAACACAGTACCTTGAACTCTGATCAGAATATGTGCTACTGTTCCTAATTACATTTATTCACTGTTACAATTGTAGCACTCATCACCCTCTCAACTGAAGTATACAATAAGTGAGAGTATTTGCCTTAACTTTGCGCTTACCGTGCAAGCTACATTCAAATGAGAAAGGTCTGGTTAAACACTGTGGCTAGATTTTGAAGAGGTTAAAATCAGCCCCAAGTTTCTCTTTTCAAAGTAAATGGCATGTGAACATACAGATTAAACTAACGCAGAAACAACATACAAAATGTAAATACCATTTAAAAAAACAGGTTTCCTATTCACTTTACTGATGTAACTCATGTTAACTGAGCATAAGATCTAGCCTTTGAATTTTTCCCCAAAAAGGACCTCTACACATGAGGTGATGCAGCTGACCTTGTAACAGCAGTTTTTCTTTTTTCGGCCACTGTTGCAATCACATGGATCCCAGCCACGCAGTACCAGCTTTAATTCCTCTGTCTCCAGCACTGCCTTATATACTGTCTTCTGGAACTCAGTCAAAGAGCAGTATATCACCTGAAAATAACAGTATATTTCAAAATGGGGAATTCAGGGCTTCCTTTCCATCTGCTGATGACCAGTCAGGCTACCAGTAACCAGCTTTAGTAAATAAATGGTGAAGTCAGTAAATGATAAGAGGACAGTAAATGATAAGAGGACAGCCTACGTTATTGCCTCACAGAATCAACTAAAACATGTGAAATGGAAGGTCAACATCAATTACAGTGATAGTAAATTTCAATTGAAGTTCCTGTATGAGGAAAGGGGTGTACTTGATTAGGTTTCCGCCATGCCCACGTAACAGTTGAAATAGATCAATAAATGAGGCGGGGGGTGGGGAAGCTCTGGCTAAAGAAGTAGCCTCTCCAGCTTCTTTTAGAAATATGACAGACTAACTCGCATGGCACAACTGTTATATTGTTGGAATATTTCTATACCAGAGCCAGGAACACACCATGGAAGGTCAGCAGGGAATCACCACAAAGCAGAGTTAGGGATCTTGAGCCAAGTCGAGTTCACAATGAATGTTTGTGGAATTGATGTGGCTTAATTTGCCATAATTCTGAGTATGAAAAGTTTGTTGGTCTTGTATTTTCAGTTAGGAATACATAAACACTGCCAGGCAGCATTTTATTACCCGATCGTCTTTCTTTGGCAGCTGATCACTGATGAGAGCCTTAGTACGTCTCAGAAACCAAAAAGACATCTGTTTTGCCAACCGGCTCATAGCCTTTCGCCCAACAGCCAGTTCTCTTTTGGTTGCTGTGTGTCTCTGACCAAATTCAATTGGATTGCAGAACTCTTCCTTAAAACGAGCTCTGTTGCCAAGGCAACCTGGTATTGCCCTACAAGTACAAAGAATTGAAAATCATTTCACCATTTCTTCCAGTCAAATAATAAACATACTGTGCAGTAATTTAAAAGCTTAGAACATTAGTAAGAAATACTTCTGTGATAGGGTGAGGGTTAGGCATGTTGGAGCCCTATTGCCTTCATCAAGATTTTACTTGGAAGTCAAACCTCTGAACTACTGATATTCATCTTCCACCCTCAGTTCAACAAACTAACCTAAAACTCTGTACTATAGGCACTATTCAAATGGCTATACACCTCAGGAAGGTTCTAACATTTTGACCAACAGCAAAAGCTGAGAGAGTACACATTCCAAGATTTTCCAACTCTGTATTGGAGGTCTTGGTGGAAGTGGTGGAAAGGATGAGAGATGTTTTGCATCTTTGATGGGCAAGAAGAAACCCATAGAACACAGCAGCAGGAGTAGGCCTATCAGCCTGTCAAGCTTGTTCTGTCATCCAATTTGATCATGGCTGATCATCCTCTTCAATACCTCTTTCTCACACAATTCCATTCAGGGCTGTAAATCTCTATTTTAAACATACTCAATGATTGAGCTTCCAAAGCTTGGAGTATAGAATTCCAAAGCTTCACAACTCTCGAGTTAAAAAAAAAAGTCTCAGTCCTAAGTGCTTTCCCCTTTATTTTTAAATTGTGTCCTCTTTTACTTGTGGAAAAATCATCTCCTCATCTACACTATCCAGACCTCTCAGTATTATCTAAGTTTCTATTGAGTACAGACCCAGAGTCTTCAGCTGCTCATCAAATGACAAGCTCTTCATCCACTTGATCATTCTTGTAAATCTCCTCTGGAACCCCTCTAATGTCAGCACATCCTTCACAGATACAGGGCCCAAAATTGTTCACAATACTCCAAATGCAGCCTGATCAAAGCCTTCTGCAGCCTCAGCAGTACATCTCGGCCCTTCTATTGTAGCCCTCTTGAAATGAATGCTAACATTGCATTTACCTTTCTAACTGCCAACTGGCCACGTTTATCAACATTAAGAGAGTCTTGAACAAGAATTCCCAAGCCCCTTTGTGATTCAGATTTCCAAAGCCTTTCTCTGCTTAGAAAACAGTCCATATCTTTATTCTTCCTACCAAAGTGCATAACTTCACACTTTCCCACATTGTATTCCCTCTGCCACTTCTTTGCCCACTCTCCTAGCCCGTCCAAACCCTTCCGAAACCTCCCTGCTTCCTCAACACTACCCGTCCCTCCACCTATCTTTGTGTCATCTGCAAACCTAGCTGGAATGGACAGATTGTTAATGTTGAACATGAATAGTTGTGGTCCCAACACTGACCCCTGTGCAACTCTACTAGTCACCAGCTGCCATGCTGAAAAACAACCCTTTATCCCTACTAAATAAAAACCGAAAGAACTGCAGATGCTACAAATCAGGATCAAAAACAGAAGTTGCTGGAAGCTCAGAAGGTCTGGCAGCATTGTTGCAGAAAAAAATCAAGAGTTTACGTTTCGGGTCCGGTGACCCTTCCTCAGAACTGGACAGCGGTCCCAAAACATTAACCCTTGATTTTTTCTTCAAAGATGCTGCCAGACCTGCTGAGCTTCCAGCAACTTCTGTTTTTGTTCCTTTATCCCTACTCTTTGTCTTCTACCGGTCAGCCAAATCTCAATCCATGCCAGTACCTTGCCCCTAACACAATGGGGTCTTGTTTTGTTTCACGGCCTCCTGTGCAGCAGCTTGTAAAGGCCTTCTGGAAATCTGAATAGATCACGTCCACTGAGTCTCCTTTGTCTAACATGCTCGTTACCTCCTCAAAGAATTCGAACAGGTTTGTTAGACAGGAGTTCTCATTGATGATATTGGGCTGACTCAACCCTACTTTACCATGCACCTCTAAGTAATCTGCAACCTCACTCTTAATAATGGGCTGAGGTCAAACTAAACGGTCTATAGTTTCCGGTCTTCTGCCTCACTTTTTAAACACAGGTATTACTTTAGCCATTTTTGGGGTTATACATATGATTCCAGCTTCTCCTTCTCAAACGACACGGTGGCTTTTACCATATTATAGCCTCTGTGCCAAGGGATTTCTTCACCATAAGCTCCCTAACCAAGTTTTCTTTGTTACACATGACTAAATCCAGAATTGCCTGTTCTATAGCAGGCTCTGTCACACGCTGCTCCAAAGAAAAAACATCTCATGGACATTTCTCAAGTTCCTTTTCTTGAGATCACTACCAACCTAATTTCCCTAGTTCACCTGCATATTGAAGAACCCCAAGATTATAGTAAAAGTAAATAAAAACTGAAAGAATTGCGGATGCTGTAAATCAGAAACAAAAACAGAAATTGCTGCAAAAGCTCAGCAGGTCTGTCAGCATCTGTGAAGAGAGATCAGAGTTAAAGTTTCAGGTCCTCTGATCTCTCTTCACAGATGCTGCCAGATCTGCTGAGCTTTTCCAACAATTTGTTTTTACAGTCATAGTGCCTTTCTTACATGCCTTTGCTATTTCATGATTTATTTTCTTCCTCACATCCTGACTACTGCAAGGAGGCTTGTACACAACTCCCATCAGAGTCTTTTTTCCCTTTGTGGTTTCTCAACTCCACTCACACAGATTCTATGCCTTACCAACTCTGTATTGCTTCTGGCTTTCAACTTAATTCCATTTCTTACTAACGAGGCAACCCCACTTCCTCTGTCCATCCTTTTGATAGGATGCGTATCCTTAGATATTTAGTTCCCAGCCCTGATCCATTTGCAGTGATACCCACAATTTAATGAATTTCAATCTGCTCTACAAGCTCAGCTTGTTTCATATATCGTATACACTGAAGTACAACACTCGCAATCCTGAATTGATTACCCCCCTTCACATAGTTGTTGTCTTATCTGCTGCGCCCGAAGTTAAATCCCTTACCCTTTCCATACTTTGTCCTATTACTTATTCAGGAAACTTTAATAACCACTGCAGAGTCTTCCTGCCGCCACTTTAACTTTTTCCCTAACTTGCGATGCAAATGAACCTACCCCCCACTATTTAGTTTAAAGTCTTACTTATGCAAGCCCTAGTTATGCAATTCACCAAGATTCTGGACCCAGCATGATTCAGGTGGAGTCTGTCCCATCGGAACAGCTCCCTCTTTTTCCAGTATTAATGCCAATATCACATGAATTCAATCCCATTTTTCCTACACCAATCTTTGAACCATGCATTTACTTTCTTAATCTTGTTGACCCTGTGGCAACTTGCTCGCAGCTCAGGTAGGAATCCAGAAATTATTACCTTTTCAGTTCTGCTTTAAAATTTAGCCCCTCACTACTCATATTTCCTCAGCAGTATTTCTTTCCATTTTCCACCTATATCGATGGCACACAAGTGGACCACGACAACTGAATCTGTCCCTTCCCAATCCAAGTTCCTCAACAACCAAATGAAATATCCTGAACCTAGACACCTGGCAACATAGCCTTCAGGCCTCTCAATCCTGAAAGTTCCCTTGGTACATTTACACTTTCTAGATATAGACAAGCTGATCAGATAGGCTGAACAAGACTGAAAAGCATGAGGTGACACATTTTTGAAGGACTAACGAGGCTAGGAAGTACCTGTTGAATGGCAAGACCCTAGGAAGTACAGAGAAAATACCATGGCATACAAGACTACGGGCTAAATGCTGGAAAATGGAATTACAATAGATGGATGTTTTATGGCTGGTGTTGCCATGGTGTGGCCAAAAGGCCTTTTTTCATGCTGTTAAAAACTCTATGGTTACGACATAGCATATCACTGAATGGCAGACCAAGCTTGAGGAAATAAGTGACTTACTCACGTCCTATGCTTCTATCATTTAGGTAGGAAAAGTGCTCTATGAGCAGCCTGGTGGATACAAACTTCCATTGACAGTCCTTCCCAACTCTTTCTTCTCCTCCCTCTTTCAGCATTCTTAAACTGCTGAGTGTATTCTATTCATTCTGAGCTATGCTATATTCTATAGTGAATGTTTACACCAATGTCTAAGAGTAACTGGCTTGCTTGGAAACCTTGAAATCATCCAAACCCTCAAGCAACTGCCCCACCACACCACGTATACTTCAGGAACTTTACTTTTGAAAGCACCAAACATGTATTGAACCAACAGCCAGATAAAATAAAATTAAATATCTATAATCAGTGTAATCCCTGATGTAGGTGGTCCTTCCTGCTGCTGAATACATCTTCAGTTCTGAGAGGTTACTGAAGAATGTTAACTGAAATATTGACACTAAAATAGCACTGCTCGTGTCAAATCTTGACTACCATCATAGTTTGGATGGCTTTTCACTGCATACACTCTCAGCAATACAGTATCAAGCATGACTCAGTCCAAACATATGCGTATGCATTGCAAGTGGCATTTTGGACTCCAAACAGCAAATATGAATCCCAATTCCATTTCGATTGGCTTTTCTTAAGACAACACCAGCATATGACAGGGTGACCATGAAAGACAGGTACTGACCAGCATCATTATGAGATCAGCAGCCAGTTAATCTGGAGCTGCTGCAGGTGCAGCGTCATATTCAACATCAGTTCAAAAGTGCAGGCTCGGAATTCAAATGACAAATTCTCCCAAACATAGGTCTCTTGGAATTCTGTCTCCTGTACATCAAGATTCCACTACTGCTCATTAACCCAGGGTTATTGGGGTAGTCTGTAGGCTACGGGAAATTACTTACAACTATTGGCAAACAAAATGGGAACAGGTGGCTCACAGTTTTAACACTGGAAATGCCAACACAAACTTTCTCACATCTTTCTCTGCACCTGGCAACCACCAGGGTCAAACTCTGGACTCGTTTATCCTCCTAACAGTTGTCTTTTGGTCTGACCTATTGACACTAGGGAAGAAAATTGATGGAAGCAGACTAGTCAACTACTTTGTTAATGACAAACTGACACATTTCTTGCATCTACTTATGCTTAGATATTTCATAATCCAAAATAACCAGCTACATTATAATTGTATAATTACAGCTTACCAGTCCATGACACACCACAGTTCATCCATGTTGTTCTGCAAAATGGTTCCAGTCAGGCCAATTCTTATCTTGCACTTCAATGCCTTTAATGCCTGTGTAATCTGAGCTTTAGGATTCTTTATCTTATGAGCTTCATCCACAAACACAGCAGACCACTCAAAGCTGTTTAAGAAATGAAAAATTAATCACATAACATTATACTGCAATTCTTAAGGTTTACTTGGCCTCTTTAACAGCGCTATTGACAATTTTCTGACCTGTAATTCTAAGAAATTTCTGGACAGTAACAATATAGTTGTGCAGCTGTTGATGGAGAAAATGCTTCTGTAACTGAAGTCAGATCTAATGAACTGTTCAATATTCTGCTTTCTTTCAGGACTCTAAAACATACTAATATTTGAAGGTGCCAACTTTGCCCAAATAAAAAACATACATATGCACTCTTTGTAGGTTGAAATGCGTCCAGTCTGTAATAACAACTTGCTTCGTTTTTGTCTTTCTCCACTTCTTTTCTCAGTATTCCTGTGGCCAAGTGATTTTAAAATCACTTCCACTGTTGTTATTCAATTTCAATAAATTACTAAATGTTTATATATTGATTACCATGGATCATCAGCTGTACTTTAATTTGAGGATGGCATCTATTCAGGATAATTGGTTCACCAAAAAGTACGCAATGACACAAAGACTTAAAGCTAGATTCCTAAGGTGGAAATACATTTTTTGGCCTTTTGAATAAGTAAATGATAATACTCCCGGACACTTAAACTAACTAAAATTAAACAGCAAATTGTTTAAAAACATGGACGAATAGTTGACATCAGTGAGGAATACCATGCAGTTTAGTTTGTGCAATACTTCAGGATACTTCAGAAGCCGGTGCAAACTAGGCATACATACATTTCTGAACAGCAGAGGTTGTGGGGCAATTGCAGAGATGTGGGCATGTGCACACCGACAACACTAGACATTAAAAATTGAGAGATGCACCAAAGGGATGAGGAAAAATGTTAAATATTCTTGGAGAGAGAGGAAAGAAAGTAAAATAGTGGGGCAGAAGGTGGTGGGAGTAAAGAAAATGTAAGAGGCCTTTAAGTAGTTACGTCTATTGACCTATGAGCTCGTACAGCACACTCAGATCTTCTACACAGTAGCAATTATCAAATTGACACTTGCTCCAACTTTTCCAGGTCCCATTTTTGGACGGACGGACTTTAACTGACATTTGAAATGGAGTCCTGTAAATTTTTTCAACTTACATAAAAAAGGCAAATTCTAATAATTCCAGAAAACATACAATATATTATTTTGACAGGCAGCAATATTTAAGATTTGTTGGTTCTAATACTAATAAACTTCACAAATGTTCCCATTGTCTCAGAAAATTAAGGTCTTTTTAAAAATGCTTATCTCCAAGAAAGGAGATTCAAAAAAGATTAGATGAAACTATCCTATTCTACCCATAACTATTAAAAGTCTGACTTCCAACCAAGGTCGAGAATGCTGGGGACAGTTTTGTGACTCAACATCAGTTATCCTGATTGTACAAGGTTCATCAGTACTCAATTAAAATACTCTTTTCAGTCTACAAGCGTGACTGAATTTCTGGTCAGTTGTCATTTTAATTCTCACATGCCCCTCTGTCCTTCCTGCAGAGTTCTAACGAGGCTCAATGACAGCTTGAGCACTTCATCTTTCACTTAAGCATTCTTACAGCTTTCTTGACTCAACAAGAAGTTCTGTTCTGTTTTGTTTTATTATATTTTGCAGGTTTGTCTTTTTCTCTCAGTTTCAGATTGTAGCTATTCATCATGCTCCTACCCTCGCTTTCATTTGCTTACAACCAATCAAATTCCTAATTTTTCTCAAAGGTCTTTGACCTGAATATTAACTGATTTCCTCGACCTGCCAAACATTTCTAGCATTTTCTATTTTTAAACTCACCTTTTACAATGCAAATATTAATTCGTTTTAATATTCCATAATAGAATGGATCATATAGACCTGGCAAATACAAGCACAGGCAATACCTATTGCAATATTCATCATCAGTTAGGGACTAGAAATTGCAATGCATCCTCATATATCACTCAGATGGCACTGCATTCTACAACACAGCTTTTGCATTGGAGTTAAAGTATTTTCTCATCAGAGGAATAACTTGCAGTGGTCAAAGTTTTAATTCCACTGAACTACTAAGGGAAAGTTAGTCTGTACATGCATAAATTGGATCTTGTGTAGATCAGCCTCTGCATCATCTTCTGGAAGTAATGCACCAAGCAAGCTAGCGGGATACTAAGGTCAGTCCATCTGCCATTAAGCAGATGGGAATCTTTCAAATCAGTCAGCATTTAATATATCCAAAACTAACAACTAAATGCCATAAATAACATCTTTCAATGTAATCCAACTTTAAATACATTATAATGCGATCTAATTACCAATTGATATCATCCAAACACAGGCGGACTGTTTCATAGGTTGTCAGAGCAATCTCGCACTTCTTGCGTCGAATACAACTGAGGGTATGGTCTTTTTGGTTACCATGCAAAATATAAACTCTAAAATAACCCCAGGTTTCCAATTCATTCTTCCAGTTGTACAGCACAGACAGAGGAGTAATTATGAGGAAAATCTTCAAAAGAAACAGGAAGATTGGTTTCAGATCCAATGTTGCAATAAAACAAGTTGACACTTAGTAAACACTAGGCTGATTAAGGAGTCATCATATATCATGGAAAGTAAGTTTTATCTAACTAATTTGATAAGAGTTTTTCCAACAAACTCACCAATTTGATGGACAGAGGATACTCAAAATATATATTGATCATTCAGAAGGTACATGATAACGCTTGTATATTTGGAGACATATTACGGCATGACTTAAGCGATTTGGTTAGGAAACATAATGACTTTGGATGAAGTGACCTTTGTAGTTCGACAATGACCACGGACATCTTCAGAGATCAGTGCTGGGGCCTCTTCTTCTCACTCTACATATAAATAAGCTGGACTTGGCAAAATGAGGGGAACACAGGTTTTCAGGTTATGTTTCATTACTAGTTTTGGTGAATTGTGAAAAGAAAAATATTAGCAAATTAAATTACAAGCAGATATAAAACAAAGAGCTGTGGATGCTGGAGATCTGAAACCAAAACAGAAATTGCTAGTGAAACTCAGCAAGTCTGGCAGCATCTGTGGAAAGAAAGCAGGGTTAATGTTTCAAGTTCAGTGACTTCAGAATTAATAGATTAATGACACTATCAGTTACAGTGACATATAAAGAACAGCAATCAGATTTATAACCAGATGGAATATGGAATTCGGTGTTCAGACTCCTTCACAAGGTGTCCTATCTTTGGAAGGATATACTAGCCTTAGAGAAAGACCAGTGATGATTAGCCAGGTTAACAAAGAAAAGATGACTTGCATAAGAAAGGATAAAGATATGCTGAGAGATTAGGTAAAGTTTGGCTGCATTTCCAGGGGTGCAAGATGATAACAGGTGATACAATTAACCATTAGGTGGAGGTCGTTGAGGGGATGAGAAAGGGAAGTTTCTGATGGAAAATCTAGACACTGAATTTCTCTGCACAACGACTACCTTAACTAATGGATTCTCAATCTTGAACTCAGTTAGCTTGCCTGGCTTGGTTTAGTCAAATGCAGTGCACTGGAACAGACTGCAGGGACAGGTAGGACTTGTCCCACAAGTGTGGAGATGTATTGAGAAACCTGGTGGTCTGGATGAAAACACACTTCGACTTCCCAGTCAATGGACTGTGAACAGCTAGGGTCCAAACACAGATCCTTATGGTACCCCACTGGTCACAGTCTGCTAACGTGAGAATGATCCAATTATTCCTAATTTCTATTTCTGCCAGTTAACCTATTCTCGATCCATGCTTGTATATTACCCTCAATCCCATACAGTTTAATTTTGTTCACTAACCTCCTGTGTAGGACTTTATCAAAAGCTTTATGAAAATCCAAATATGCACATGCACCGGTTCCCCCTAACTGACTCTGCTGGTAACAACCTCAAACTCTTAACAGGTTTGTAAAACATAACTCCCCCTTGACAAATCCATGTTGACTCTTTCTTAAGAATTCTTATCTAAAAATCCAGTAGTCACATTCTGTATAATAGATTCTAGAATGACGTCAGGCTAACCGGTCTGTTGTTCCCTGGTTTCTCCCTTTCTACTTCAGGGCGGGGGGATACAATCGGCATCCTTTCAATTGCAGGCACTGTTGCAATATTAATACAGAATTTTGAATGCATCTCTGTAGCTATCACTTTCAAATTTCTAGGATGAAGTTCACCGGGTCCAGGGGATCTGTCAACTTTCAGTCCCATTAATTTCTTGAATACTACTTTATAAACCAATTTCTTTCAGTGCCACACTCTCATTAGACTTTTGCATCTTCTTTATTTCAGGCAGTCTTGTGTCTTCCAGTGTGATGACAAAAATTTCTTATTTAGCTTCTCTGCCATTTTCCTACTTCCTATTATAAATTCTCACTTCTCTGCCCAGAATGCAGCCACATTTGTCTTAACTAATCTCTAGCTTTAGCAAAGGTAAAAAAGCTTTCACAATCCATTTTTTTCTTGCCATTTTACATTCACATTATATTTTCTCTAAAAATTTCATGGTACTCCGTTGCTGAATTCTAAAAGTTCCCTATTTCTAAGGCTTACAACTCTTTGGGCAACTTTATAAGCCTCTTACTTTGATCTAACACGATGTTTAATTTCTCTTATCAGCCATGGCTCCCTTACCTTTCCTGTCAGGTATTTCTCCCTTAAAGGAATTATGATTTTTGAAAGCCAATCATTAAATCTTTAAAAACTAATCTTGCTATGAACCTGGAACTTCTGGCCCAGAGAGAGTTGTCACCACCACGATGTATTCCCATCCCCACCTGTTTATGATCACAAGACCTGCTAGTTAATGTGGACAGTGAATTAAAGACTCTGCAAGAAAGTTTGAGAAGATTTGTAGCTTGGGTTGTGGATGAGGTTGTAGACATGCTTGCCAAGCCAGTAGATTTGGTTGCAAATGTTTCATCACCCTGCTAGGTAACATCGTCAGTGCGCCTCCGGTGAAGTGTCAGTGTTCTGTCCTGCTTGTTATTTATATGCCTCAGTTTATTAGGGTGTTTGGTATCACTTCCGGATCGGATTCGCAGTGGTTTACACAGTGTCTAATTCAAGGTGTTTGTTGGAGTTCCGCTTAGAATACCAGGCCTCCAGGAATTCCCTGGCGCGTCCCTGTTTGGCTTGTGCGATTATGGATGTGTTGTCCCAGTCAAGTGTGTCCCTCATTGCCTGTGTGTAGTGAGGCAAGTGAGAATTGGTTGTGTCTCTTGATGGCTCATTGGTGTTCGTGTATCTGCATTTTCAGTTTTCTTCCAGTTTGGCCTATGTAGTGTTTCTCACAGTCCTTGCATGGTGTTTTGTATACTACACCGGTTTTGCTGGTTTTGGGGTACGGGATCCTTTACGTTCATCAGTAGCTGTCGTAAGGTGGTTGTTGGTTTGTGGGTTACTGATACGTAGGGGTCTGAGTAGTGTTATGGTCGTCTCTGAAATATCCTTGATGTATGGTAGGGTGATAAGTGATTAGTAAGTCTGGTCATGTTGTGTCTTCTTGGTGTAATCTGTCTTGGAGGTAACTGCCGATTGTATTTTTCGGGTATCCATTTCTTTTGAAGACTCTGTATAAGTGTTCCTGTTCTGCTTTGTGTAGTTCCAGGTTGCTGCAATGTGTTGTGGCCTGTTTAAATAGTGTCCTGATGCAGCTCCATTTGTGGGCGTTGGGGTACTTGCTACTGTAATTGAGTATCTGGTCTGTATGTATGGTCTTTCTATATATGCTAGTCTGGAGTTCCCCGTTCTACCATTATGTCCAGGAAGGGTAGTCAGTTGTTGTTCTCTTCTTTTGTCAATTTTATCCCCGGTAAGGATGATGTTTATGTGTCGGTGGGTTTCTTCGAGTTTTGTGTGTTTAATAATCACGAAGGTGTCGTCTACATATCGGGCCCAAAGTTTGGGTTATTTAGTGGGGAGCACTGTCTGTTCTAATCTTTGCATTACTGCTTCTGCAATCAGTCCTGATATTGGGTATGCCACTGGTGTTCTGTTGATTTGTTTGTATATGCCGTCATTGAAGGTGAAGTGGGTTGTATGGCACAGATCCAGTAGTTTCATGGCGCTGTCCTTATTGATGTTGGTGGTGTCCTGGGGTGCCTGACTACTTGAATCATCCAGTGGTGTGGCAATTGTCTCTTTGGCTAGATCGACGTTTATGGATATAAATAGTGCTGTTACTTCAAAGGCTATCTTCTATCCTGGTGTCCTTGATGATGTTGAGGAATTCTTGGGATGAGTGGATGGAGTGGGTAGTGTTATCCAATAAGTATTTCAATTTCTGTTGTAGTTCTTTGGCAAGTCTATATGTTGGTGTACCTGGCAATGAGACCATGGGTCTCAGGAGGACCCCGGTTTCTATACCTTGGGGAGTCCATAGAAGCAGGGTGGGTTGGATCCCTCTGGACACGACCAATTCTCACTTGTCTCACTACACACAAACAACGAGGGACACTAATTCGACTGGGACAATACATCCATAATCGCACATGCCAAACAGAGACATGCCAGGGAATTCCTGGAGGCCTGGTATTCTAAGCGGAACTCCATCAACACATTGAATTAGACTTTGTGTACAAACCACTGAGAAACGCTCCAACCAACTGAAGCATATAAATAATAAGTGGGACAGCAAAACCGATGCTTCACCTGAGGCACACTGACGATGTTCCAGAGGCACACTGACAATGTTCCCTATCAGGGTGACGAAACATTTGCAACCCACTGGCACGCCTACAACCTCACTCCGCAAGAAATTATTATTAATGGTAGGTTATTTTAAGGTTCAACGAACAATTTTCCAGCATTAAAACAAAACATAACATTTGTGGTAAAGGAAGATTTGCAACAAGATACAGGCCAAAAAGAATTACTTTGTCATCTTGTCTTTTCGATTCCTTTCTCATCGTCTTCAGGACAAACTTAGGCATGTTATTTTCAATATCCTCCCGGGTTCCTGTTTTATGAAGTACAGCTGCTAGAAAGGAAATAACCTGTGAAAAGCATCATTAATAGATTATCAGATGATAAAGATTATATTATTTCATAGTTTCCTCACATATTCCCTTAGGTACTTGCCAAGCTCACCTCTAAAAAATTTCATTTTTGAGTTTCTCAATTAAATCCAACTCAAATGTTGATTGAATCATCTCTGTTGATTAAATGCTCTTGGACATTGTTTTGTTTACCCACTTTTCAAGGTGGTAGCCTTTACTCACTATCTCAAAACGCTTCCTTGTTTCCTCTCCAGGTTGTGTCCCTAAATTTCTTTTTCTTTCCAAAGTTCTTGAATGTCTTGTCATTGACTACCTGTGCATTCATAGTCTCTGAATCTCTTCAATCCAGTTTTCATCCTGCTCACTGTACCAAGATTACTAATAAGATATCCTTTGTGTCTGTAATCATAGGCACCCAACCCTTCCTAGAACATAAGAATCTCAGTAGACCATCTGGTCCTTCGAGACTGCTCTGCCATTCAATAAGATCATGGCAGATCTTTTCGTGGTCTCAGCTCCATTTACCCATCCTTTCGCAATAATCCTTAATTCCTTTACTGTTCAAAAAAATTATCAACTTAGCTTTAAAAACATTCAATGAGGAAGCTTCAAATACTTCACTAGGAAGGGAATTCCACAGACTGACAAGCCTTTAGGTCAAGAAGTTCCTCCTCAATTCAGTCCTAAATCTGCTCTCCTAAGTTTGAGGCTATGCCTCTTGTTCTAGTTTCACCTGCCAGTGGAAACATCCTCCCTGCTTCTATTTTATCTACTCCCTTCATATTTTTATAAGTTTCTATAAGATCCCCCCCTCATTCTTCTAAATTCCAATAACTATAATCCCAGTCTACGCAATCTCTCTTCATAAGCCAACTATCTCAACTCTGGAATCAATCTAGTGAATCTCCTCTGCACCCTCTCCAGTGCCAGTACATCCTTTCTCAAGTCAGGAGAAAAAAATTACACGTAGTACTCCAGGTGTGGCCTCAACAGCACCCTATACAGCGGCAACATAACCTCCCTGCTTTTAAACTCAATCCCTCTAGCAATGAAGGACAAAATTCCATTTGTCTTCTTAATTATGTGTTGCACCTGCAAACCAACCTTCTGTGATTCATGCACAAGGACACCCAGGTCTCTTTGCACAGCAGCATGCTGCAACTTGCTACCATTTAAATAATAGTCCTTCTTACTGTTATTCCTAACCAAATGGATGACTTCACATTTATCAATATTGTACTCCTGTTGCCAGACCTTTGCCCACTCACTTAAACTACCTATATCCCTGTGCAAACTTTCAGAGTCCTCTGCATACTTTGCTCTACCACTCATCTTAGTGTCATCTGCAAACTCTGACACACTACACGTACTCCCCAACTCCAAATCATCTATGTAAATCGTAAACAATTGTGGCTCCAACGCTGATCCCCAGGGCACTCTGCTAGTCACTGATCACCAACCAAAAAAGCACTCATTTCTTTCACACTTTGCTTCCTGTTAGTTAAACAATCCTCTGTCCATGCTAATACATTGCCCGTAACACTGTGCACCTTTATCTTATGCAGCAGCCTTTTGTGTGACACCTTGTCGAATGTCTTTTGGAAATCTAGATGCACCACATCTACTGGGTCGCTGTTGTCCAACCCGCTTGTAATGGCTTCATAGAATATCAGTAAATTAGTTAAACATGACCAGCCCTTGATGAACTCATGCTGCATGTGCCCAATGAGACAATTTCTATCTAGATGTCTTACTATTTCTGCCTTGATGATGGATTCAAGCATTTTCTCCACTACAGAAGTTAAGCTAACTAGCCTATAATTTGCCATCTTTTGTCTACCTCCTTTTTTAAACAGTGACTTCATATTTGCTGTTTTCCAATTTTCTGGAACTGCCCCAGGGTCCAGTGAATTTTGGAAAATTACCGCAAGTACATTTGCTATTTCTCCCGCCTTCTCTTCTAGAACCCTGGGATACATTCCATCAGGGCTAGGAGACTTATCTACCTTTAGCTCCATTAACTTGCCCAACATTACTTCTTTTCTGATAATGATTGTTTCTAGGTCCTCACCTACCTTAGTCTCCTTGTCATCAATTACTGGCATGTCATTCACGTCCTCCACTAGAGGACCAACACAAAACACCTGTTCAATGCCTTGGCTACTTCCTCACTCCCCATTACTAAATCCCCCTTCTCATCCTCTAAAGGATCAGTGTTTACTTTAGCCACTTTCTACAAATAACTAAAACAGAGAACTTTTGCTATCTGTCTTTATATTCTGAGCTATTTACTCTCATAATCTATCTTACTACCTTTACAGCTTTTTTTGTAACTTTGTGTTGACCTTCAAAGTTTTTCCATTCTTCTCATTTCCCATTGGTCTTTGCCACTTTGTATACGTTAACTTTCAATTTGATAGCCTCCCTTATTTCCTTAGACATGCATGGCTGATTACCCCCTCTTCTACGGTCCTTTCTTTTCACTGGTATATACTTTTGCTGAGCACTTTGAAAAATTACTTTGAAAGTCCACCACTGTTCCTCAACTGTCCCACCATAATGTCTTTGCTTCCAGTTTATTTTAGCCAACTCTTCCCTCATCCTATTGTAGTCTCCTTTGTTTAAGCACAGGATCCTGGTATTGGATTTTACCTTCTCACTTTCCATCTGTATTCTAAATTCAACCATACTGTGATCACTCCTTCCAAGAGGATCCCTAATTATGAAATCATTAATTATTCCTGTCTCATTACACAGGACCAGATCCAGGATAGCTTGCTCCCTTGTCAGTTCCATTGCATACTGTTCAAGAAAACTATCGTGGAGACATTCAAAGAACTCCTCCTCAAGGCTGTCTTGGCCAAACTGGTTCGACCAATCGACATGTAGATTAAAATCCCCCATGATAATTGCTGTACCATCTTTACAGGCATTAGTTGTTTCTTTGTTAATTACCCACCCAATGTGACATTATTATTTGGTGGCCTACAGACCATGCTTATCAGTGACTTTTTCTTCTTAGAAATTCTGATTTCCATCCAAATGGATTCAACCTTATTCTCCATAGAACCTATATCATCTCTCACTACCATCCTGATGTCATCTTAACTATCAGAGCTATCTGCCCCCCCTTACCTTCCTGTGTGTCCTTCCAAATAGTTTGATACCCTTGGATATTTAATTCCCAGTCATGAGCATCCTGCAACCATGTCTCTGTAATGGCGACTAAATCATACTCATTCACGATGATTTGTCCCATTAACTCATCTACCTTGTTTCAAATGCTACGAGCGTTTAGGTAAAGTGCCTTTATGCTAGTTTTTATACCTTCTTTTTGAATTCTAACATCTCCATTAATATTATCTCCTGAATTTTCCTTCCTTTTAACTTTTTTCATAGCTGATGTAGTTAAACCCTCCTGCACACGTTAACCTGCTGCTTTCTTTTCTATTTACCATCATACTTCCTGTCATTTGCCCCTTCCCTTCCCTCCAGTTCACTAGTTTAAAGTCCTAGTGATCACCCTATTTATCCTTTTCGCTAGAACACCGGTTCCAGATCGGTTCAAGTAGAGACCATCTCAACAGTACAGATCTCTCCTGTTCCAAAACTGATGCCAATGCCCAATGAAATGGAACCCCTCTTTCCCACACCACTCCTTTAGCCATGTGCTTACTTCCCTAATTTTCTTATCCCTAAACCAATTCGCACGTGGCTCGGGTAATCCAGAGATTATAACCCTTGAGGACCTGTTCCTTAATTTTGTTCCTAGTGCACGATAATCCCCATACAGGTCCGCCTTTCTAGCCTTGCCTATGTTGTTTGTTCCAACGTGGACCACAACAACTGGATCCTTGCCCTCCTGCTCCAATATCCTTTCAAGACAGTCTTGTCTGCTTTGCATTCCAGCAAAAGACAGCAATTCCATGAGCAGGTAAAGAGATTAAATTTTTGAGAAATACATCCTCCTCATTTCAGGGAAGTCAAACTGTTTCAACTGTAGATACCTCAAGGAAGTGTCACATTTTTGCTCCAGCAGAGCAATTGTGCAGTTGGGAATATCACATAGTAAAATGTATCCTCGAGGCCCAGAATTTACTTTCAATGCCGCACTTGTGCTGCAGCCTTTTGGTCCATACAACTAGCCTAGAGCAAACTAGTCATAATCAACTTAATGTTACACAAAACCAAAAGACATATGGGAAGTAGTAGGTCATTTGTACCACTAATCCACTCCACCATGGCTGATCTAATAATCCTCAGCTACACTTTCCTGCCTTTTCACCATAATCATCAATCCCTTTGTGGATTAAAAATCTGTCTCTCTCTTTTGAATATTCTTAATGACACAGCTTTGTCAGCCCTTTGCGGCAAAGAATTCCATAGATTCATCACCCTCGGAGAGAAGTTCTTCACCTCTGTCTTAAATGGGTTACTTCTTATACTGAGATGGTCCTTCCGGTTCTAAACTCCCAAAGGGGAGACAGCCTCTCCGCATCTACCTCTAAGAATTGTTATTGTTTCAATAAGGTCACTGGTCATTCTTCTAAACTCTGATGAGTACAGGCCCAACCTACTCAACGTTACAACATAAAACAGTTCCTCCACACCCTCGACTACCTCCAATGCCAGTATATCTTTCTTTAGATAAGGGGACCAAAGCGGTTCCCAGAATTCTAGCTGTCGTCTGACTGTATAGTTTTAGCAAGGTGTCCCTATTTTTACACTCCACTCCCTTCAAAATAAAGACCAATATTCCATTTGCCTTCCCTATTATCTGTTTGATAATTTCAAGAGATACATACTCCATAATATTTCATTAGTTTTATGATTTATCAATGTCTCAACACTGATTTTATTCCTTTATTACCAAACAGCCTGCTCACTTTTCTTTGCTCATATTATTGCAAACTATCTTCTGTCCAAATTTTCCCACCATGAAATAAATCTTTCAAGCAGAAACAATCAAGGTGTCTTCTAATACTTATAGAACTGAAAATCCCAGAAAAGGTAATGCTGTCACAGTTTGCTTTTCTTCAAGAAACACTTTAACAATGCAAACAATTTGACTTTGAGCTATACTATGATGATCTGGAAGCTCTAAGCATTAGCTGGTAAGTCCCAATCAATAAGATTACCTGTACAGTTTTTCCAAGCCCCATATCATCACCAAGGATGCATCCTCTGCCAGATAAATAATGCTTAAAAATGAACTTTACTCCATCTCTTTGGTAGTCTCGCAAGTATCTATTAATAGTATATGGCACACATATACTGCCCTCAGACAATTTCAAAGAGATCTTGGGGCCTGGTGCTTTTTTGTCAAGGAAGCAGGGCTTCTCCAGGTCATCATCATCAAATATAAAACCTCTCGAACATTCATTTTTGCCTTTCCTTTTCAGTGTGGTCAGTGCCACAGTCTCTTCATTAAAGCTGGAGAACCTTACAACTGCCACGGTTTTGCCATCTTCATCTGTGGATATTGATTTTATTGTGGCCTCATATAGCTTATCATCTCCAGAAAAGGGGGCAAAAACCTGATCACCAACGAACCAGTTTTCTGAAAACAAAAAAATCCACAACGTAAGCAAATGAAAGCAAAATGTCAGTTAAACAGAAATTGCAATCAGAGCAGTTATAAAAGCAAATTGGAAACAAAATTATTTTTCAACTATCCAAGGGTTGTCATGCATACCTGGTCCCGAATCAATATTTGATTCAGAGGTTGAGACACTTAGCTCCATTTGTGAAAGGATGTTTCGATGCGTTTGAAGCCTGAGAAAAATAAAAATAAGTCAGATTTTACGAACTTCAATTTTTTGGCTATATAAACCAAGATCCTATTTTCTTCTTCTACTGTTGCCACACACTCCGCCAATGATCTCACTAGCCTACGACACCAGTTCCCTCAAATTCGTTAACTGTCCAACTCCCCATTGTGTGGAAGTTTTATAATTTTAATAATTTTGTTATTTTTAATGAGCTGCCCTTCTTAATCAGGGATCATCTGCAAACTTAGGAAATTTGGAATGAGCTCAAGTCATTTATGTACAATATTACAGCAGCAGACTGAACACTGGTTCCTAAGATTTTTTTTCTCTTTGTACATAAATCAGGAGTAGAAGGCCGTTTGAGCTCATTACTCCATTCAACGTATCATGGTTAATCCTTTATCTCAATACCATATTCCCGCTTTCTCCTTATATCTCTTGATGCACTTAAAATCTAAAAATAAGATTTTATTTGTTCAAGGTTGAGTCAGAATGTAGAGTCACAAAGTTTTTACAACATGGAAAGAGGCCTTTCAGCCGATCATGTCAAGGCAGGAAATCAAGCATCTATTTATTTTAATCCCGTTTTCCAGCACATGGATTGTAGCTTTGTATGCAATGGGGTTTTACCCCTAAGTACAATACAATGGAAATCACAGAAAGAGAGCCTTCAACCAGTATTATGTTTTCATAAACATTCAATATGAAGGCCAAAACAATTCAGAGCATCAGAATTCAATATCCTTTTAGAATCATAAAATCACGGAAATCAAAAGCACTGAATACAATCTGCTAATCATAACTGTGCTAACATTCTTGAAACAATAGTCATGAGTAGTACCATATTTCCATATATTTTGCCTCTAAGTTTCTCAACTAACTCCTTTTCAATATGATTTATGAAATTGCTCCCATGCTTTTCAGATGGCACATTCTAGATCTTAATAACAACCCAAGTGAAAACATTCCCCTTCAGCTCCCCTTTAGATTCTTTTCCCAATAATTTTGGATCCGTGACTTCTAGTTGCTGACACTCAAGCAAGCCATATGCCCTTTTGAACTAAGGTATTAACTGACTCTACCACTATTAGGCATTTATGCATATGGACAACAAGACCATGCTTCGAAAGTACATAATTTCAAACTTTTGTGGAACGAAATCCTTCTGCCCATAACACCATCCTGTCCATGTCACCCTGCTGTCTATCCTCACCATGATCTACTACTTTGCCAAGGGTCACATAACCTGCAAATTCACAGTGCTCTTTACAATCAAGTATTAGCCATTTAAATTAGATCTAAGAATAATGGTCTCAAAACTTACACTTGGGGAATACCACTGTAAACTAGTACACCATAATCCATCCATTGGGAAGTTGATGACCTACTGGTATTATTGCTCGACTATTAATCCAGGGTCCCAGACTATGCTCTGGGGACCCAGGTTTGAATCCCACGATGGTAGATAGTAGAATTTGAATTCAATAAAAACAAAAATCTGCAATTAAGAATAGGAGTTATTCAGAATAGTGTCCTAGGCCCAACCATCTTCAGCTGCTTCATCAATGACCTTCCCTCTATCATAAGGTCAGAAGTGGGGATGTTCACCAATGATTACACAATGTTCAGCACCATTTGTGACTCCTCAGACGCTGAAGCAGTTTGTGTCCAGATTATGTTGCATTTGGATAATATCCAGGCTTAGGCTGAAAAGTGGCAAGTACCATTCACACCACACAAACGCTAGGTTATGACCAGCACCAGTAAGAGACAGGAACAAAAACAAAGTTGCTGGAAAAGCTCAGCAGGTCTGGCAGCATCTGTGAAGGAGAAAACAGACTTAACGTTTTGGGTCCGGTGACCCGTCTTCAGAACTTAGAGACAGTCTAACTGCTGCTCCTTGACATTCAATGGTGTTACCATCACCGAATCCCACACTATCAACAGCCTGGGGGTTATTGTTGACCAGAAACTCAACATGGACTCACCACATAAACTCAGTGACTACAAGAGCAGGTCAAAGGCTAGGAATACTGCGGCGAGTAACTCACCTCCTAACTCCCCAAAGCCTGTCCACCATCTACAAGGCACAAGTCAGGAGTGTGATGGAATACTGCGCACTTGCCTGGATGATTGCACCCCCAACAACACTCAAGAAGCTTGACACCATCCAGGACAAAGCAGCCTGCTTGACTGGCACTGCATCCACAAGCATCCACTCCCTCCACCATCAACGTTCAGTAGCAGCAGTGTGTACTATCTACAAGATGCACTGCAGAAATTCACCAACGATCCTCAGACAGCACCTTCCAAACCCACAACCACTTCCATCTAGAAGGGCTCAGTGATTAGCACTGCTGCCTCACAGCACCAGGGACCTGGGTTCGATTCTACCCTCGGACGACTGTCTGTGGGTGCTCCGGTTTCCTCCCATAGTCTAAAGATGTGCAGTTTAGGTGAATTGGCCACACTAAATTGCCCGTAGTGTTCAGGGATTATTAGATTAGGGGGATGGGTCTGGGTGGGATGCTCTGAGGTTCGGTGTGGACTTGTTGGGCTGAAGGGCCTGTTTCCACACTGTAGGGATTCTATGATTCTATGATCTGTGACAAGGGCAGCAGATATATGGAAACACCAGCACCTTCAAGTTCCCTCCAAGCCACTCATCATCTTGACTTGGAAATATATCGCTGTTCCTTCACTGTTGCTGGATCAAAATCCTGAAATTCTCTCCCCAATGGCATGGTGGATCAACCGACATCAGGTGGACTGCAGCGATTCAAGAAGGCAACTCACCACCACCTTCAAGGACAACTTCCAACTTCTTAATAATCCACCTCGAGGGAGCATTTGACAAACTGCCACAGAAGTTCAAATACGTAACTCCTACACACTACACTGATCAAACCTTTTTGTTAAATAATTAAATCAAGTTAATCAGACACAAGTTAACATTGACAAATCTAGGTCTTGGCTCCCTCTCTGTAACTGGATTTTCGCCTTCCCGAGCCACAGACCGCAGTCAGTATGAATAGGCAACAACACCTCTTCCATTATAATCCTCAACACCGGTGCCCCAAAAGGCCACACACTCATTCCTTATACGCTCATAACTGTGTGGCCAACTTCCACCCCAACTCCATTTACAAGTCTGCTGATGCACTACTGCTGTACGTCGGATCTCAAATAACATGACAGAATACAGGAAAGAGATTGAGAGCTTCGTGGCATGGTGTAAGGACAACGATCTCTGCAATAACGTCTGCAAAACAGAGGAACTGGTCGCTGACATCCGGAAGCAGAGTGGATGGCACGTCCCTTGTTGCATCAATGGTGCTGACATGGAGATGGTTGACAGTGTCAATCTCCTCGAAGTGATGATTATTAACAATCTGTCCTGGTCCATCTACATCAATGCAACGGTCAAGAAAGTACAATAATTCCTCTACTTCCTCAGGAGGCTAAGGAAATTTGGCATGTCCATAAAGACTCTTACCATTTGTTATAGATGCACCATAGAAAGCATCCTATCTGGATGTATCACAGCATGGTATGGTAACTACTCTTCCTAATACCACAAGAAACTACACTGTGTCATGGACACAGCCCAGTCCATCTCGCAAACCAGCCTTCCATCCACTGACTCGATCTATGCTTCCCGCTGCCTTGGGAACTGACACAGTCAAAGGCACCTCCCACCCCAGCTGTACTCTCTACCACCCTCTATCAGCAGGCATGAATACACGTATTAAGCGATTCAAGAACAACTTCTTCCCCACTGTTATCAAACTTTTGAACAGACCTCTCAAATGTTAATTTTGATCTCTCTTTCTCTGCACCTTCTCTGCAGCTGTAACACTATTCTGCACTCTGTTCTGCTGCCCTGTATCTTGGCGCATGTGACAAAAATAAATCAAACTCAAATCTGCATTGTTCATGAACGTTTGCTATGCACAGCTTTGCTTCTTTCATTAGTTTAAAGCAGTTTTAAAAACTGTGGTCATGAAAAGCAAATCTTTCCCACGTTCTAATCAGACTCCCATTATTCCTTAGATAACAAGGTGTAGAGCTGGATGAACACAACAGGCCAAGCAGCGAGATAAGTGGAGATAAGTTCAGTGGGGCAGGAGCAGGCAGAGACAATGGGTCGACCAGGGCAGTCAGGTTTGTGGATTTTGGGAAGGAGATAGAAACGGGCGGTGCGGGGTTGGGAAC